TATAGGGGTCGTCCAATTGCATCACGTCTCGAATAGTGGGACGAAGCGCATCGAGCTTACCCTCGAAAATCAAGGTGTACGGATCGATGGGCTCTTTCGCCGCCTTTCTCGCAGGATCGTTCATTGATCCCTTGAGTACAGCTGTCCTTTTGCTTTTCTTCGAAGTGATGTTTTTCAGGTCAACCTCATCGTCAATATGGATAAAAGGGGTGTAGACAATGTTGTCGTAGAAGCAGCCCAAGACATCGGCTGATACGCCTTCACAGGACGAGTTCTTGATGTAGTCTGGCCTCTGCATTTTTCTTTTGTTGTTCTTGTTGAAGACGTCAGTGTGGAGAATGATGATAGAGAAGGATATAAAGTATGCTTTGTCTATGGTGCGTTAGAAGCGTGAACATGTCTCATGGGCAGAGTAGTTTACCTGTGTTGATGTAAATGCCGGGGTTGCACTCGTGATAGCGGTCAGCGAAGCCCTGAAGAACACGGTCAATCTGCTGCGCCTCCCTGGGCAGCTCGACCTGCATGAGCAACTTGCGAATGGCCATGTCAATGGGATCACCGAAGAAAGCAAACTTGCGCATGTAGCTTCGCAACACCGCAAGCAAAAAGGGGTCATCAGTCTTGCTGAGGTAGCTGGCGACAACGCTTTTGTCAAAATTGTTTGCCTCGATTCGTTCCAGATATCTTCCTGGGGTCTCGCCCTCTTCGCGCTCCGGCAGGATCAATGTTTCTCGGCTAATGTTCATTGAGTTCTGATGAGAGGACAGGGCAGAGTTTCCTAAGAAGCCGTGAGCAGATGCGCCATGTCGGGGCGAATGTGGCTCAGAGTTCTGACGAAATCTCGATCCGAGACCAAAAAGATTGCTGAAACTACTTCTTCCAGCAGTCGATATTGAAGTCCTGCCACTGGGACCCCCGGGTGGTGTGGGAGATCCGGCGTCCTCAGATCGCGCGTCTAATGAGCCCATTGTCGATGAGCGTCCTCGGAGCCCTAAGCGAGCAGCACCGTTGTTGTTTCCCGAAGAGTGGGCCGAGCGAGACGATCTGTACGAATCGTTGCGGAGGAGAGTGCCTGAACCGGGTGAGGCCAAATTCAAAGCACCAGCAGCTAGAGCAACTTGCGATGCAAGAGGGATTGGCGGTGTTTGTGCCCCTGAATCCCCATGGTCGACACGGCGCGCAGTCAGCGGCGGACTTCCTGGTGGTGATTGTTGATTCGACGCCGAACTCCTTGCCCCGGTCGAGGCACGTGGGGTGGCAGGTGCGGTGTCGGGAAACTGTGGAGGCTCGACCTTCATGGGAAGGGGGAACAATGATGCCCGTTGCTTCCGGCGGCCAAAGGTGAAGCGGCCGGTAGCCGTCCGTGCCGGGTGGCTGGGTCGTTGGGGATTTTCAAAGGAGACGTGGCCGCCGGAGCTTCCGTCTGACCTGGAGGATTCGGATGCTCTGGTAGCAGGCGGGGCCAAGGAGTTTGTGCTTTCGACTGATTCACGTGGGTCGGCAAGCGCATCTGGAAGGCGCTGCTTGCATGGTAGCGGGTGCTCGTTTTGGTCGTCGTGAACATTGCCATTGCCCTTTCCAAAGCCGAGGGGTCGCCGCTTCCTCTCCATGGACTTGCGCAACGTGGTGGGCTTGTCGGCTAGGCTAGGGTCGAAGGAGCGTCGTCGCAGCGCAAGTTGCTGCATGCGGCTCCTCTTGGGCGTGGGCTTGGCATAGTCTTCGTGGTCCGTCACGGTGGGTGCGGTGGTGATGATGGCGGGCGCTATTACGAGTTCTACGTCAGTACTGGGTATGCGAAGACTGGCGAGTACTGGTACATACTCGCGGGGGTTGCAGGGACAGCAGGGACAGCCGGGACAGGTGGAGCGTTGTCCTGGTCATGGTCATGGCCGGCGGCCTGCTCCTTTGCCCTGGTGGAGAGCTGCGAGTCCGAGGCATGGCGGAAGCGCATTAGACTGAAGCGCCTGGTGTTGGGCGTGTGCTCCTGTACAGGCGGAGAAGGTGGGGAGTCAGCGTGGTGGCCGGTCGAGGGCCGCGCCATGTCGGACGAAGTTGGGCGGTAGCCATCTTCCGAGGCTGCGATGCGAGTCGAGTCGAGGTTGTCGGTGGACTTTGCAAAGTGCGAGTCCTTGTCGGCGCGCCTGAAGAGGCCCGCCGGGTCGAGGGTGCTCCGCCGCTTGAGGTCTCGTTCGCTGCGGTTGGGGCGGAGAGAGCGCAGAGGCATGGCTGCTCGCGCCAACTAGCAGCTCATGAAGGCAGGAATTGCGTCACGATGCGGCACATGGCACAGCAGAGAGGGAGGCAGGCAGGGGGCGTGGCCGTGGCCGTGGACGTGGACGAGTGTTTACGGGGGACGTGTTGGCTTGTGTAGGGGGGTGAGCAGCAGTGCGGTAAGGCTGAGTGAGAGGGAGCGGTGCTGGGATGGGCAGGTCAGAGACTGGGCACGATGGATGCACGCGTAGCCGGGCTGGGGCAGAGGGGCAGCCGACGTCACTGGAGCGGGTTTTTTTCTGGGACTGTAGGTAAGTAAACTGTATAGGGGGGTGTGGACGAAGAGGCGCCAGGCCGGAGGGCATCCGCTGTCTCCAGGCACTGGCGGGCGCACTGGTACTCTTTGTGCAGCGCGCGGTGGAGAGGCCGCCCGCACCAGCCACACACACGCACAAATGCACACGCGCAAGCCACACCCGATCTGCCCTCAGCCACATCTGCCACGTTCTGCCCCGGCATCCCAACCGGCAGCCCGACAGGCCGACGGATGGGCCAGACACTACATCGACACTAGGCCGCTAGACACCCTTCTTTTCTCCGCCCAACGCGACGTCACCCCGAGCACCTCGTAGCCTGGCCAGCGACACTGCTCTCTCGCCATGCGCCGGCCCACGCTTGCTGTGCTGAGCCTGCTGTGCCTCTCGCCCTCCCTGACCCTCGCCGCCCCGCGCGACACCACATCGCCGCTCCAGTACGACACCCAAGGCACCTACGCCTCGGCCCACCACGCGTCCCCGCGACCATGGCGCCGCCTGTCCGACGCCATCATCCGTAGAATATGGGCCCTACCCGCCGACCAGAAGCGCCTACATGGCGACAACCAAACTCCTGCCGTAGCCAATCCATTGGGCTCTGGCCTGGCCGCCCAGTATGGCGACGACATTGTGTTGAGATTCAAGATCCGCACTGCCGACGAGGCTACTGCATTGGCAAAGGCCGCTGACATCCTGTTTCTTGACGTTTGGGAATTTAATCACGACTGGGCCGATGTGCGCATCGCAAAGGACGTCCTGCCTTCCCTCCTCGACCTGCTTCCGCCATCACTCCACCATGCTCACGAGCCACTGCTGCAGCACCTGGGCCTCGCACAGGCAATCTTCAACTCATACCCCTCTTCCGCCTCTGCTCCATCCCACCATGATGACCGTTTTTCCCCGAATCTTCGTCCATCGCCGCGGGCCGGCAAAGGTCATGTCTTCTTCCAGGACTACCAGCCCCTGTCTGTCATCAATCCGTGGATGAGCCTCATGGCCTCCATGTTTACTACCCACGTCCGCCGCATCAATGTCGGCGTCAGCTATCAAGGCCGCGAAATGCCCGCCCTACGCGTCGGTGTGCACCCTACCAACGACGATGAGCCGTCGCAGCCGAGAAAAACCATTCTCATCACAGGCGGTATACATGCCCGCGAGTGGATATCGACTAGCACAGTCAACTACCTCGCCTGGAGCTTCATCAATGCCTACGGAAAGGACCGCGAGATGACGCGACTGTTGGAAGAATTCGACTTTGTATTCGTCCCAACCTTGAACCCAGACGGCTACGTCTTCACGTGGGAGACGGACCGTCTGTGGCGCAAGAATCGCCAGCCTACCAGGCTGCGTTTCTGCAACGGCGTAGACCTCGATCGCAGCTATCCGTACATGTGGGACGGTGAATCGGCACAGTCAAGTCCCTGCAGTGAATCTTTCCCTGGTGATGCACCGTTCGACGGCGTGGAATCCGCACGCTTCGCTGCATGGGCGAGAAATGAGACTGAAAACAACAATGTCGAGTTTGTGGGCTTTCTGGACCTGCACTCATACTCACAACAGATTCTGTATCCGTATAGCTACTCGTGTCATGAAGAGCCACCTGCCATTGAAGACCTTGAAGAACTCGCCATGGGCCTGGCAAAGGCTATCCGCGTCTCCCGCAAAGGTCAGACATACAAAGTGACGTCTGCATGTGAAGGCAATGTGGCATTCTTCAACGAAAAGAAGAAAATCTTTCCGCGCATCGAGTCGGCTGGCGGTAGCGCACTTGATTTCTTCTACCATGAGATGAAGGTAAAGTATTCTTACCAGGTCAAGCTAAGAGACACAGGCAGTTATGGGTTCTTGCTACCAAAGGAGAACATTATCCCAACAGGAGAGGAGATGCTGGATGCGCTTTTGTATTTTGGGCGCTATTTGCTCGGTGAGGTTGGAATTGCTCAGCAAGGCAATGAGGCTAAGATGGCCAAGTCCGAAGAAGACTGGGTTGTTGTATCAAAAGATGGTAATGTCGGTGGCCTTGAGACTGAGTCTGAGATCACGGAGTTGTAATTTACGTTCATGTATTGTAGTACTCAAAGAAAATAGTTTTACGCATCGCACACACCTAATCTTGTAACATGCGCGTATGTTGCGCGAACTCGATGGGGCTCTTTTCGCAAAGCAAAAGCCTGTTACGGTAAACTGCGGGCCATGTGCAATCATCCTTGACCACTTTGAGCCGACGCGTGTCATTGCGCAGCGCTCGTGCAGATGCGGGGATGGTGATGATGACGACCTGCTTGCTTTGGATTCATGGCAGCCGCATGAAACATTGGACACAAGCAAGCCACAGAGCGTTCAAGATGGCGTCCGGGATCCCGTTGGTTTTTATCAACGGTCCTGCATGTAGCGGTCGTTCACTTGCACGTGGACCCCGTCCGTGCCGTTAGGCGAAAGCTAAGATCCTTACAACGTCATGGCTTCAAAGTCTCAGTGAAGCAATAGCTTCCGCGTCTACCACCGTCATTTTGGTGCTATCGACACCCGGAATCCGCCATTGCACCGTTGTCGTCTTCCGTCGCAATTCACTCTTCCACTACTGACCATCAATTTGACGTGAAACACAAAAACATAGCCCGTCATGGCATCACAAGCTACAGAAACAACTCCCTTGGTGTCGTCAATGTCGAGCTCAAGTCGAGCAACGCCCCATAAACCTCAGCGCACCGTCACTTTCAATCCGACCGTCCTATCCACAAGCCCCAAACCCTCCTCGCCTCGCTCGCTATCCCACGGCGCGTCCTCTTCGGGTCATGCTGCCACGACCCAAGGCGGGCAGCCAATGCTGTCGACCTTGAACAGCAAGCTGCGGAGGAGAAACAGTTCAGGCGCTCCTGCTCGGATACCTCCTGCGCCGGTGCCCAAGATTGGTCCACAAAGAACGACGAGGACTGCACAGAAACTGAAGCTCCTCCCCGATCCAGCTGCCGATGAAGCCGAAGACGAGGAGAGTGGACGCGACGTATATGTGCAATACACGCGCATCAAAGATCCCACTGCAAGAAGAGATGCTGCCAGGCTTGGAAAAGCAGATAGAGAACGGCTACCCAGAGTGACGGCATATTGCACTGCTGCTTCCTACAAACTTGACGAGATGATGCGATTTTTGAAGGGAAAGCAGAAGACAAGAGGCGCTTTGCCCAAGCGTTTTGACGAGTGCATATACTCGCCGTACAGCTACGGTTCAACGAAAGGTCCAGAGGAGATTAGCAGTACTGCGGTATTGGGCGACTATCCAGAGGAAAGACCGAGGAGGTTCTCAGACAGCGCGATTGAAGTGGAACACGAAAATGAGCGGAGAAGACAGGACATTATCGACCTACACGACGGTTGTGATGCACCTGATATTACCAACGAGCAAGCCGTGAGCCAAAGACGTCCATCCATCACCCATGCCGATTCCGACCCCCCAATGGACACACCGGACTTCGATACGCGCGTACATACACCAGAAGTCTTTCTTTTCGAATACGGAACTGTTGTCTTATGGGGCATGACGCTCCAGGAAGAGAAGAAATTCCTCAAGGAGATTGCAAAGTTCGAGGTGGACAAGCTCGGCAAGGATGAGATTGAGACAGAGGAATTCAATTTCTACTACACACGCGAATACCAGGCCCGGATATACAACGATTTCATCAGTCTGCGCGACAAGAAGAACTACATGATCAAGCTCGCCATCAGCCACGGGCTGTCTCAGAGTGTCAAAACGTCGCTATTCGAAGACTTGGTGGACAACACGATTGACGAAACCAAGGACATCCCAGCCGAGATTGCGAGCTCGGGAAAGATCAACCTCAACAAGAAACAGATCAATATGCAGATAGGAGAGCTGTTCATCCTCCGCATTAGTATACATTTGCAAGGCTCTGTTCTCGATGCGCCGGAGCTCATGTGGGCAGAGCCACAACTGGACCCGGTCTACCAGGCGGTGAGAAGCTATTTGGAAATGGATCAGCGCGTCAGTCTCTTGACCGAAAGGCTGAACGTCATTGGTGATCTGCTTGCTGTACTGAAGGATCAGCTGACTGTAACTCATGTAAGTTGGGCGGCAAAAGCCCATGTCTTGGAGACCAGCTTGGCTAACGAGGAACACAGGGTGAACTACTCGAGTGGATTGTAATTATTCTGATTTTCGCCGAAGTTCTCGTTGCCGCCATCAACATTTTTGTTGACCTGCATGCTGCGGACTAAGTTATTGGCATTACTTTTCTTTTTCCCACAGTATATGATAGTCGGCTTGCGGCTCTGCATAACGGGCGTCCGGGGCACAGTTGAACGGGTCTATGGTACGGCGCTGTAAGTGGTTGGCGTCGAATATATGTTTTAGCTAGCTGTTTAAGCAGATGTCAATAGGGTGGTTTGGGGGGGCTTTATTTTCTTCTTCCTTTCTTTCTCTTTTTTGTTATGATAGCAGCTGTTTGGGCCAATGGAATAATGTTTCGTCATGGTTTTAGTGGTGATTTGGCTGAGAGTAGCTGGTTTGACGAGGACGAGGTTAACGTCGTCGCTACTCGCTGTACGGAACACGTTTTCCAATGCGAGACGAGACTGGCGAGTGCTCTCTTGTAGAAACGCGCTGCCATGGAGGAGAAACGTGGGTAGCATTAGCAAGTGGCACAGCAATGCATGCTTACTTGCTTAGGCGGCGCTGATTTTGCTACAGTAGTTTAATCTAATCGACTAGGGCGGCGGAGCAGGACGTCTCCGCCCGCTGAACCCTGTCCGGCGCCCCATCTTTCCACATGAGACCCTTTTGAGCATTTCACCGCATGCCGTCGCCCTCCATCCATACAGTGCCCCAATGAGCCGTCCCAGATGAGTTGGAATCTGCTAGAGCGCTTTATAGAATCTGAGCACTTCAACCAAGATCCGAGCCTCGCAGTAGCATACCTTGCGTGAGTGGCCACCTCTCCTCCGAGCGGCCGTCTGCCGCCGATTGCCTCCCCTCTCACTTGCTGTTTACTGACGCATGCATGCGAATGCACACAGCCGGTATGCAGACCACGTCGGAATCCATTATGTGCTCTGTTCCAAGCTGCGCCAGTTCGCCTACGAGGAGCTCGAGTTCTTCCTGCCGCAGTACGTCGCCTGCGCCACACCACTACCCGCCGACGGCATGAACAGCTAGCTTACATACGCGGGGCACCACAGGCTATGTCACCTCCTCATCAGTATCGACAATGAGTCCATGGCCCTCGAGGAGTTCATAATCGATTTATGCGAGGAGTCGGTCAACGGCGCGCTTCTGGTGGGGCTTCCGGATACCGTGTCTTGTTAGTCTGGTGCTTCTTGTGCTAATTCATGCTCTGCAGACCTTTTGGCTCTTCCAGACATATCTCCACGATCTCGCAAGCGCTCCAAATTCAATCGCTTTCAAAACCTGCAGGAGAATTTACAATCGCGTGCAGCGCATCGTCTTTGGCTCCGCCGAGCCCTCGCGGAGAGAGAAGATCAAGGAGAATGTAATGCCCGTCAGCGTCCTATCGAGCCTGGTTCTTGCAAGCATAGCGGCGCCGTTCCTACCAGCTCATGCTGGGCCACTGGCTATTGCGCAGGCGCGGAAGCCGAGACCAGTCGAGGACATCATCTCCGATAACGTGCAGACGGCCAAGGTGGGGAGGAGCAAGACGGTCACAGGAGGATCGCCGAGGACCAAGCAAAAGAGGGCAACTCAGCAACAGCAGCTTTCGGATCCCGAGGACGGACGGACAGGTCGGTCACAGTCGCAGCGCCCCCGCGACCCCAAGGACTTGAGGAAACAGGCAATTCGAGCACCCCCTGCCCAGCGCGCCCCATCAGCCTCACAACGACCGTCGCTATTGTCTGTAACACCTGAAGCCCGCCTTAGCTCGTCCTCGCTACCAGAATTTCGAGATACAGGCTCCTCCTCTCCTCTCCCTACGCCACCGGCAACCGCTGGCCTAGGACCGAGTCCGCTCCATCTTGGTCCTCGCAAACATTCGGCACACCCACCAAGACCTCTATCGCCCACAGCACTGACCCGCGCACAGAAAGTTCGGCTACTGCGATCCAATTATTTCCGGAATGAAACCCAATTCCTGAGCGCTCTTGAGGATATTTCAAATCGTTTAGTCGTCGTGCCGAAGCCTGCACGATTGAGTGCTCTCAGAGCAGAGTTGGCGCTGATAGCCCAAGACTTACCCGCTGAAGTTGATATACCGCTATTATCACCCCCAACCCTGAAAGATGGAATCCCTTCGCAGAGTCAGCACCATCGAATAGTACGAATAAACCCTGCCGAAGCTACCAGTCTCAACAGCGCGGAGCGAGTCCCATATCTGCTCATGGTGGAGGTGCTGGAAGAAGACTTTGATTTTGATCCAGACACGGAACAAAACCAGAAACTCCTCGAAAAGCTTATGCTGGAAAAAGGCACTTCAAGACGGCGGCTCTTTGATATCACCAACGCTGACTATCTTGCATCATACGACCGCACTCCACCAAACGGGTCAGACAGTGTATTCGAGCCTGTTACGGGTGACCTCAGTAGCACCTCATTGATCAAGGACACGGATGAGACAGATATCGCCTCAGGACTAGCACGAGTGACCATGCCTGTTGCGGCAGCCAATAGCAAAGCGACAGCACCCAGATCCTCGAGTGGAGCCAATACCCTATCATCTGTGGCTACCATGTCTACACCACGGACGTCCGATTCGCAGATCAGTAGGTCAGTCAGTCCTGTCCCTAGCAGAAGAATGACAACCCCTGCAAACATGAACCGAACAAGCCAGGCCGTTGACCAGCCCGACTTTTCTGCTCTTGCAACCCACATGCGCACTGCTGCTCAGATGCTAGCACAACTGGAAGCAAGTGGTGCAAAGAGGCCAAAGGGCGAAGTAGCAGCAATCAAAGCCAAGATTATTGCAAGCATGCAAACCCTGGAAGAACAAAATTTCCTCAACGAAGACCAGAGCCCTACTTTTGACTCTATCATGGCAGAAGCAGATCCAGTCGCAATTGCGGGAGAACCGGAAGAAATTGATGAAGCCTTGGTGGTCACGCCCAACTCGGGTGCAGGCGCTGCTCGTATGGAAAACGATCTTAAGACTGGTGGGATGCGACGAAAAGGCGACAGAGACGATCCCAGTGCTGCAACTTTTGGAGAAGAATGGAGTGCAAAGCGAGAGCGTATACGGCGATCCTCGCCATATGGTCATATGAAGAACTGGGACTTGATCAGCGTCATCGTCAAGACCGGCGCGGATCTACGACAGGAGGCATTTGCTTGCCAACTCATTGAAGTTTGCGCCAAGATTTGGGAAGAAGCAGAGGTGCCGGTCTGGACGAAGCGTATGCGCATCCTCGTCACCGGCGAGTCCTGCGGTCTCATAGAAACGATTACGAACGGTGTTTCGCTACACTCCCTCAAGCGAAGCTTGACACTTGCTAGTATAGCAGCAGGCACCAATCCCCGAAAGCGCATCGCAACTCTCAAGGACCATTGGCTTAAGACATTTGGGGAACCCGACTCGGAAGCCTATATTGCAGGCGTAGCAGCCTTTGGTCGCTCCTTAGCGGCATACAGCATCATATGTTACGTACTACAGCTCAAGGATCGCCACAACGGCAACCTTCTCATTGACAACATGGGCCACATCATTCATATTGACTTTGGCTTTATGCTCTCCAACTCACCCGGATCTATGGGCTTCGAAGCGGCGCCTTTCAAATTGACACAAGACTATGTCGACGTCCTGGGTGGGATCGGATCGCCCGCATTTGAAGAGTTCAAGACACTATGCAAGAAGGCGTTTCAGGCGCTTAGGAAAGACGCTGAAAGGCTAATCATGCTGGTTGACCTGATGAGCAAGCAGAGCAGTATGCCATGTTTTGCTGCTGGCGCGGCTAGTGTAACAAACAGTTTGCGGGCAAGGCTTATGCTGCATCTGAGTAAAGAAGAGGCAGAGAGCTTTGTTGAGGAGCTCGTTGCAAAGAGTGTAGGAAGTTACTATACCCGGCTGTAAGTTTATGATAAGTACTATTGTTTGCACAAGGACCGCTGCTAACATGAATTGCAGTTATGATACGTTTCAGTACCGCACGCAAGGCATATACTGAGTTATACACCCGCATCATTTACTTGAGCGAGCTTGTGCACTATTTGGAGATATTTGCGAGGGCATTCGAGCATAAGCATTGCGGTTTCTCGTTCTTCTTCCATCATCTCCTTAATCCTTTCTAGACCTGGTTCGCACACCATGGAGAGAGAGGGGGTTATGCTAAGCTTTTCCTCTTTTGGATAGAAGAAGCAGAGAACGGAGGCTTTGTCATATGCTCAAGAATATATTTTTTTTTCTTCCCAGACGAAGAGCCGATGTGTATATTTGGTAATCTTTCAATGAGATGACGTCTACAATAACAATAACGGTACTCGGAGTACCAAGCCTACCAACATAGTCGTGAAACCTAAACTGAAAAAAAATCACATCGAAAAGACTAATTAGCTTCCATCACCTCCTCCTCCCTTTCCTGCCCAAACCCTTCCTTCTCCCTCATCCCCCTCCCCACCCGCGCCACCTTGTGACTTCCCACCGCCCCTCCTACTTTCTCCACCACCTTACCCAGCATAGAATCCCGCTCTGGTCCCCCCATTTCTCCTGTCTTGTTACCGTACCCTGCCCCGCCCGTTGATCCGCTGCCCAGTGGCGCGGGATTCGAGTATGGAGTGGGAGATAGGTTGGAGCCGAGATGCGTGTCTGAGGTGCTGAACGTAGACGATGTGGAGGATCGTTTGTTGCCTTTTTCATTGCGGGTTTCGGGTCAGTGATAGCTCGTTATAGAAGGGAAGAGAAAAGAGCAAGAGAGTTTGTGTATGTCAAGGAGGAGGTAGATGAAGGGAACGAGTGTGTACCGAATCCCGCACCGCTGGTCGTACCCGACCCGTGTTTTTCGTGCGGATTGTGATAGGGAGTGTTTGAGTCTATGAGGCCGAGGCGCGTGGTGTTGTGCTCTGGCTCGAGGTCTGAGGCGCTGTAGGATGGCGCGGTGCGGTTGCCGTAGCCTGCCATTTGGGAGATGATTATGATTGAAGAGTAGGAATGTAAGGAGGGACACTTTTGGGGGATACGATTATGGGATTTGAGTGGGAAGTTAGATATTGTGTCTAAATTGTTTGGGAGGTGTTAAGTAGGATATATACATATAGATACTGGATAGGTCTTCCGTCCAGAGGTATGCTGATCTCGTTATGCATATGTTCAAGAGATGTGTTCAAGCCTTATGAGGTCATTCTGCTGGGAGATATGTAGATCAGAGGATACAGAAGCATTGTAAGAGGCCGATGAGTGTGAGCTAAGGCATGCTTAGTAGTCTTGTAGGACGCTAGCCTCCTGATTATGTAGATCGGACGAAGGTGGCTGACAAAATGAATCGAATAAGTCTTATCGGCTTCATAATATCTGTCGTGTTGAAGTACTTATATTTATTCGTCGACAATAACATTTCCGGAAGAAATCCGTATCGATACAGAATCCCTTCTTGTAGCAGCATAGTCTGCCCTGAACAGCACGAAGAAAGTTTCTATGACCAGATATACGCATGATTGGATCGGTGCCCAGGAACGATGGGCAGAAGCGATAGATAAAGCCAACATCCGTGAGTGGTAGTCGCAACTGCTGATCGAGATAACGATAAGGGCTCTACAAGATTCCGCTCATCACTGGCTCCCTAATTCCCGCCAAGATCTGGGGTATCCCACGCTCTTCACGCAGTCTGCCTGAATGATTCTAGACCCAGTACGCCAAGACCCATGAACGCCAGCAATGCACGCGAAGTACGATCGAAAACAAACTCGAAAAGCGCAATGACCTCATCGCACGTATTTGGACTGTCGCATTCTGTCAGCAGTGTTGGGTATATCGTGAGTTATAGTTGCTTACCATGAACTTCTTGTGAAAGTCGGACCGTAGCATGTCGTTGATGAACTCCTTCTTTTTGTTCCTGTCCTCTGTACCGCGTGCTTGGTTCTTAAATACGACATCGTCGTCCCATCGGCGTTTCATGGTAAAGTCTTTGGCGTTGAGCAGCGGGTTACCCCGAGCAACATCAATTTCACGTTGCTGTTCCTCTTCGGCAGCTCGTTCGGCCTCCTCCTTGGCTTTAGCTGCAGCACGCTCCTTTCTGATCTTCTCGAGCTCCCTCTGAAGGGCTCCTTCGCCGTCTTCATCGCTGTTACAATGTTAGTTGAGCACTCGATATTCAGGTGCAATATGAACCTACTCATCGTCGCTACTCTCCTCCTCACTACTGCTATCGTCCGCATCTACATCCCTGAACTTTTCAAGTAATTCTATTCGCCGCCGTTTCTGCGCTGCTTCGTCTTCTTCGCCGTCTTCGTCAACTGACACATTGTCAATCTGGCGCTTAGGCGCACTTCCAGGCTCGGCCGTGGCGTCCGGCTCTACGTATGTGCCGTTCTTCTTCGCCGCATAGCGCGCCTCTGCCTCCAAAAGTTCGGCGCGCAAGTCGCGCTTATGCTTGTCGGCATCTCCACCCTGACCTGGTTGTCTATGCTTGAGTGTTGTATGCGCAGGGAGGAGTCGCTGATGATAGGCAGGTCCACGCTGGGCCTCTTTACCGCGTGCGGGATCGAACGTGGGTCTATGGGCGGTCGTCATTGTAGAATCGTGTGATTTGACGGTTTTTGTTTATTGGTTTGTAGGTTTCGGAAGTCTTGCAAATGGTGGGTGGTGATTATAGTGGATGTGCAAAAGATGGCGCATACAGACTCGCGATGATCAAGTCGCGCTAGTAAGGAAGCATCGGCGTTCACTTTTCCCCGCGCCGCATTTTCTATGGTTGTCCAACAACCACTTCAACTCCAATCAACGCCTTATACATTGAAGAGAGGCATTATGCCTCGAGAAGCTGAGATATCGCTCAATGAGCGCGAATTTATCAAACAAGCGCTGCAAGAGCAGATTCGCATCGACCGGCGCGCTTTTGACGCCTTTCGCCCTCTTGAGCTTACTTTTGGCGATGAATATGGCGTCGCCGATGTGCAACTGGGCAAGACCAGGTACATGATTACAATCTAATTTTGTATGCGCAAGCTAATAAAGCTCAGGGTCATTGCTCGCATATCAGTAGACGTAACAACACCACCCCCAGAGCGCAAGTTCGACGGCATCTTCCAAATAGTCACAGAGTTCTCTCCAATGGCATCACCAGCATTCGAAGTTGGCCGGTATGTCTCATTTCACAGCGGCCTGTTCTGCAGCCATTCTAACCCTGTTCTAGCCCCACAGATGCTGAGGTCATCCTCTCGCGCATACTCGAAAAGGCCATTCGTCGCTCCAACGCTCTCGATACTGAATCGCTTTGCATTATTGCCGGCTTGAAATGCTTTGCTCTCCGCGCAGACGTACACATAGTTGATCATGACGGTGGCCTCATCGATGCATCCTGTATTGCCGTCATGGCAGCACTACAGCACTTTAGGAGACCCGATGTCGTAGTCGAAGGCGAGAAAGCGACCATTCTCAGTGTACGCGAACACGAACCGATACCTCTGTCTATTCTTCACCAGCCACTCTGTGTAACATTCTCGTATTTCGAAGGGGAGTTATTTTTGGTGGATGCAAACCTGGCTGAAGAGCAAGTTCGACAAGGAGAAGTGATTATTACCATGAACAAGCACGGAGAGGTTTGTCAGATCGCCAAATATGGAGGGGCCACTATCCACCCGCTGGCCATACTCAATTGCACAAACATCGCGCAACAAAAGGTCAAAGACATAGGCGCGTTCATCCAGAAAAGGCTTGAAGAAGACGCGAAGGAAAGGGATGCAGGAGGGCTGATGGCTGAGCTGAGCGCTGAAAACGCCAGGTGAAGATCTACAAAACAGTTGCATAATACAACGGCCAGAGAGTCTGGCCCAATCGTCTAGCCTGCGATGCTTTCAAATACTGAGATCGCGCGACCGCGAAACTTCGTCCGCCGAGCCATGTGCTCGATCAGGAACATTCCCACGAGAGGACGGGTTGTGGGTCCATCGATGTTGTGGATCGACGGTCCGCCGCATCCCTACACAAAACTACGGGATAACCGACAACCAGATGGCGAATCGCAAACGTTGGTCATAGGTTTCAGGTGCATGGAGCGACTCGGAGCTCCGAAGAGAGGACTAGTTGATGAATACGCATAGACATGTGAAAAGAAAATAGATGTCATCCTCGGCACAGAACCGATGTGAACACGACTTCTAGAACTTGTGGTGTGGTGATGGCGCTGACAAAGCCCGTCGCTTTAGTATCGGGCGAGCCACAACGCCTCGGTCCATGCGAGAAACGATTACTCGCATGTTGTCTCCCCACCACAAATTCCAAATCAATGTTAGATGTAACATGCTTCACAATGCATCGGCCGAGGTGTCACTTGAGTATGCATATAATTCTCGGTCTGGCACTTGCCAGTTCGTGTTCCGCAAGTTCTCGAACCATAATCTTGAGTATTGCGTCATAACCCAAGGACCCTGCATTACGTCTCCCCGAACATCCTGCGCGTCTTTAACAGACCTTTCGACTGTCTTCTGAACCCACTTTCCTTCATTTACGCATTCACAAATTCTCCTGACCCAGCATGACTTCAAAACTAGTACCTTCCGATCCCGCCAGTGTTATGGTGATTCGAGATGTGGTCCCGCGCATAGTGACTACGCTCTCAGTACCGTTTTGGAGATTTGGTCGCGTCAAGATCGGCGGAAGAGGAACCATTGGTATATTTTGTTTTTCCGAGGTATCATGGGTCAGTAACTAACAATAGTTGCAGTGCGCCTTGAATCCGGTGCTCTTGCCGTCTTCTCACCGGTCGCGTTGACCGAAGATGTCAAGCGCAAAGTGTCTGAGATGGGCGAGGTCAAATATATCGCAGCGCTAGACAACGAGGTACGTCTCTTCTCCATTGCCCTAAGAGTTTTGCTTCAGAAAAACCTTACTAAACATCTACAGCACCACATTTTCCTCGGTCCCTGGCACACGGAATATCCCAATGCGCAAGTTATGGGCCCAGAGATGCTACCAGAAAAGCGCGCAAAACAAAACAATGAAAATGTGCCTTTCAGTGTCCTCTTCAGCGCCTCGAAGCCCGTGACTTCCATATCACCTGAATTCGACGCAGAGTTCGACTGGGAGTATGTCCCCTCGCACGTCAACAAAGAACTAGTATTTCACCACCGCCCCACACGCAGTCTCATCCTCGCAGACCTCATGTTCAATCTGCCAGCGACGGAGCAATTCAGCAAGTCGGGTGTCGAACCAAACACAGGAATTCTAAGCAAGATCTTCAATACGTTGCAGAGCACAAAGGGTGATGCGAAGTGGCAGCAGCGCACCATTTGGTATGGAACTAGTGCAAAAGACCGCAATGGCTTCTCGAAGAGTATGGAGAAGATTGACAAGTGGGAGTTCGAAAGGATTATTCCGTGCCATGGAGATGTCATTGAGGGAGAAGGCAAAGGTATCTTCGAGAAGGTTATGAGGTGGCATTTGGATGCTGCGAAGGGGCAGGGCAAGACTTCTTAAACAGTGTGATGCTGCAGGGAGAAAAGGCGTTTGAAGGCGTGAAAGCGAGTTTTGAGGCGGTAGGCGGGAGGGTTTAGGTGATACCCCAGTTGTTAAGAGACGGCAGGGTTTTTCTTCTGTTTCTCAATCTTAAAAACGTTTGTCTCGTTCACATGTAGTTGACAGCAAAGGATAATGCAAACCATGCTATGTGTTGTTCTCTTCATGTTCTCTCTGATCCTTCGTCCATCTCGATATCCTCTTCAAAATTCCTTCTCCGCACATTTCGCCCATCATACCCCCTACTTGCTCTATCGCTCCCCCAACCCCAAATAGCCATCACACCAGCCAGCGTGTATGGATTTCTCTTGAACCTCTCTTGTGATGCCGGAACCATGACTGGCAAAGGAACCGAAATATCCACCTCTTTCCAATCCTGCACATCCCCTAGGTCCTTCGACACAACAAGCTCACCACATCGTGAAATCTCCAGTGGTAAAACTGGATCCTCCATAACACCGAACCCATCTCCCTCCCCACTCTTCACCCCCAGCCTAACCTCCTCTTTCTCCTCAAACTGCCCATCCACCTCTTCCCCATCAAACCCCCAATACATCCATATCTCCCTCATATACCACAGCACCCCCACTCCCACCCCCAGCGTACCACAAAACGGTGAACAAATAAGCAAAAAGCCCGATACATATAAAAAAATTTCACTCCGCCACTCCCTATCATGCTCAAGCTTGTACTCTGTTTTCCGAGCGTGCGCACTGAACCAGGGTGAAAAATGCATCAGGGATTTCTCGACGAGTGCTACGGCGAGAGTGGCTTGGGTCAGGAGGAGGGCGGTGCATGTAATGCCGATACGGTGTTTTATGATTGGTTGCAGGATGGGGAGGGTGTGTAGAGCGGCGCGGTGGTGTTGGTAGTGCGAAAGTGCGCGGGTGTAGAGGGGGAAGGGGTGGAGGAGGGCGAGGGATAAACGCCAGGTTAGGAGGATAGGGAGGGTGGACATGTAGAGGAGGAGGCCGGTGAGGAGGTGGAGTAATTTTAAGGGGATGGAGATGAATGTGTGAGGGGTCATGGTAGAAATGACTTGGAGAGTTGGAGAGTTGGGGCTCCGACGTATGGCGCTGGAGTGATACTTGAACGATCATCTTCTAATCCTCGAGTGGTAATACGAGGGGTTTTGTGTGAAGACGCTTATTGAAGGTGTTAATAGTGAATAGAGTGACAAAGTAGTCATTACACCAACATGTGTTGTTAACAATTTTTTCAATATGTGACTCTATACTCAGGTGGTATATACTCTAAGCCCAGTCCTTTGAACACTGCCTTTTCTGCATCTTCAGGAGTCCCTTCAACACCGTCTGGCCCTTCAATCATGATAGCTTCACCATTAGCTCGACTGCGAATGCCGCTGCTGTCGAATTTCCAGCCCTTCACATGTTTTGCATACCGCCGCAAATCCCGCTGAAATGTCGTGCCACCGCTCCAGCCCATGACTGCACAGCCTACAGTTCGCCAAGGTGCAACAATGATGTCCACTCGACGATGAATAGCTGGGTTCTTCGCTCGTGGATTTCGCTCGAGGTCTCCTTCGCGAGTTGGCCAAGCAGGATCCTGCCACACTACGAGTGCTTTATCAAGAGTGTCGAATCCTACTCCAGCTCCTTTTGCAGAACGAAAGGGCAAAGTGTGCTGCCCGCGCTTCGTGTTTGCCAAGCTCATCGTCAAGGTATGAGTGATCCACTGAGCATCTTCCAATGACTCGACAATTTCCTGAACCAATCCCGCTGTACTTTCCAGTTCAGGGTGCGATACGATTATATCCACATCACCAGAAACTGATTTGCCGCGTCTATAGCCACCGACTATGGTGATACTAATGTGTTCGTCCCGGAGTTTTACCGCATGATCTCGAACAACAGCGGCTATGTGTTCGACTTCAGCACGCGGAATCGGTTCTTGAAACTCTTCGTAGTACTTGATGCCAATCTGCTGGACTCGGTCAAGGTCATTCCAGCCATGTTCAATGATGTCGTCCAACTCCGTCCAGTGGTTGTCGTAGTAGAAATGTCGCGCCGTCTTTGCCCCAACACCCCATATATCATAGAACGAACGCAGAACCTTCATTGCCTCATCGTTCTCGCAGTCCTCAACTTCCTTGATTTTACCGGTATTCTTCCATTCAACGAAAAGAACCGCAGTTTTCTCGTCACACCCTGGTAATTGCGCAATCTCACGTGGGTGGCTGAGCTTGTATGGATAGGCAGCAATGGCTGCAATAATGGTGGAGTACGCACGTACGCCTATCTCATCTTCGATAAGAATCCGATTAGTCCTAATCTTCTTGAGTTGGTCGAGGAAATCCTCATTCGGCCCGTTAGCGGGTGTGAAGCGCTGGCATGCATACTTGACGCCTTTCTTCACCCATTCGGGTGGTGGCGGTATATCACTATCTTCGCCTTCATACTCGCTCGTCGTTTGCTGAAGCAGAAGCGCCGTCTGTGATGCAAAGGAGTGGGGCGAAGGCTGTGAAGGCGCTAAATTCTTGTTACCAAAGCGCCAGGACACTTGATTACCAAACTGGGGAGACTTGTGTGTAGTCTTGCTTGTCATTGTAGGTGCATCCAACTTTGCTCGATCTAGTATGTTTTGTGACTGACGTGGCCCTGTGGGTTTGAGTGTCTGAGATGAAGGTGGCTCTTTTGGCGCTACTGAAAAGATATCCTTGATGGATTTGGTGCTGCTTGGTTTTGGCCGTTGCTGCACCTTTCCCTGATACATCAAGTTGCCGCCTAGAGGAACGAGGTGTCCTGCGGTTGTACAAGCCTCTATCCAGTTCAAGTTGACAACCCAAACAATGTCAATGTCTGAACCGTTGTCGACGATCGTTGGAAAGGGCATTTCATCCTCAGCATGCAATGTCGGAGACCGTGGAAAACTTGAATCCTGGATCGGCGCTTCGTCTGCAGTGTCGGACGTCTCTTCTGATCCTTTCTTTGCAGCATAATCCTCTTGACTAGCCGAGATAGTTACAAACGGTGACTCCAGGACTCTTTGTTTTTTGTTCGGTGTTCCTATTTTTACAGGACTAGCACGTCGTTTCGGCGTTACAAATTCTTCAGCGATTAGGTGCCTCGAGCGCAACTCAAACGCAGCTCTTCCCTTAGTGCCCACCTTACCTAGGAGTATTTTTGCCCTCGACATGTCCGTAGTAAGCGACGCATTGTACAGACGCAAAGTTTCTTTGAGCGATTTTTCTTCATCCTGGTTCAAGCGTGTTTTCAGTATAGCTATCGGCGGAAGTTTACCAAAATCAAGGCCTGCCATAGGTGTTTCTGATGTCTGAGATAACGAGTCTGCGCGTGCCGTCTGAGCATGGCGGTCCATACCGGATAATATCGTGTTGGTGAGATAAGTTCCAGTCAGGGTAGTCAAGGTGTATCTAGAAAGCGCATCCTGTATCTTCTCCAAGTAGAATGCCTGAATGCGCGAGTAGTCATTGTTCTGAGGCGCCGGTCTCCATACGATGAAATCAAAAGCTCAATTGTATCTATCACAAAACTCCAGTGAATGGCGTTCGCAACGTCACACGGGCCTGGATGACGTTTGTGTGAGGCGGGGAGGTTGGGGGCTGACAGGAGGCCCTTGGCAGGTTTGCATTGTTTCGACATACAATGCTCAGGCACTGGTGTCTGTGCGCCCCGAATCTGTTTGCCGCTAGCCTTCCCGCGTTGACGCGCAATCAGCTACGACGTCTTGTTTCACCCCTGCGTCTTTCGAGACTGAACCCACAATCCTCCAAGCCTATCCCTCGGTCTAATACGTATACAGCAGCCTCATTGTCCACAGATGGCTGAGCCGCCGTGATGGTGTTTGTTCAATTCTTCCAGTCGATATATTGCTCGAGTGGTCAGCATCGTCATGAGTATGGTACCGTGTAGATGCCTGCAATCTATCAGTCCAAGCCGCCTCAACTTCAGCCATTAGGGTTCTTGCTGCTAAATGGGAGAAGGCATCTTCGCATGATGACGGCGGCGTTTAGCATCATGCCACGGCTGGCCCGGTTGAATCGCGCCACCTCCAGTGGACGGCCCCAGGGCAAACGCTGCAAGGGCACCGAACGCGGGCGCGAATCGCCTCGTTTGTTTCTTCCACGCCACCAATCTTTGCCGTCTAGCGCGCGGACCTCTGTTTCGGAATAATAACGGCACCACGTCAATTCTGGAAGGCCTTGTAGCTGCGCCCTTTGGTGCGTATATAGCATGCAAGCCCGTAAGGATTAAGGTTTGGGCATTCTGATACACCCTAAGCGTACCGCTCTTCACTAGCTACCCCGGCCTGTCCGTGGACCGATATATACAAGTGGGTATCGCCTCGGGCTCCATCTGTTCATTCTTCAACCCTTGCCTTTCTTTTTGTGGTTGAACTACATATTTGTTCTATCCTTCTTCTACATTCTTTTCGCTACTTTTGAAAAGAGCGCTGGTGTCTTCGTGTGTATCCATACCACACCCACTTCGCTTTGACAGCCACCAAAAGTTGATTGAATTCGTACTATCAACGCCAGCAACCCCTTCTTTCCTTCACCATGCGCTCTTACATCTTCATTGCCCTCGCGGCCCTCTTCGCACTTGCTTGTGCAGTACCAATCACACCATCAGCACCTCGACTTCAAAAACGGGCTGAGCAATACCGACTACAGGGGCTGGCAGAGGCATGTCTTTGGGATTATCCCATCTGACCGAACTCATAAACTAACTTGAACAGTTTCAAATTGCTGAGCGCCTTTCATCTTCGGCGTCGTCATTTGGCGTTGATCCTTGGCGGGCCCGCCTCAACAAGAAGTTGCACGCACTTCTGGACGCTCCACCAACAGATGAAGAGGGAAAGATTACCTTCGAGGAGGAGGCGGAAGACTTCTCTGGCGATATTGCACCTGGTACTCTGGAAGCGCCCTCAGCTCTTCCCAAGGCCCTGAAGGAAGCCAGTATGTATGACAGGCTATGTGCGATGTTCCACCGCGCAGAAAGCAGTTTTGGGTATGAGGGCAAGGAATTGGAGCTGCGTCGACCGGAAGGAGTCCAAAACTGGAAGCAGTCTTTTGGAAGTTTCCGCCGTCACCATTAGAATCAATTACTTGATCATTTCTACTTCATCAGGTGATCAGACATGCAGTGATGACAATACTTGAAATGCTTATTTTTCCAAAAGAGAAAAGTAAATGGCGATTGATATTCTGGTATCCCGATCAGATCCGTGTCTATTGCTACGCCCGCTCATCAGTTTACCCACCCTATAATTATCAAGATGATACCATTTAACGCCGAGTCATGTCCCAAAGAAAGACGGTCAACAATCAAACGCCCATAGTGAAGTCATGCTCTATGCCTGGTGTGACACTGTTGTATGTTAGCATGGCCCTTTGATAATGGGACAGATCAACTTACCTAGCCATGAACTTGAGGAAGACAACTAGATACTGATCCACGCGGATAGCCACTTCTTCGTCATCGCCCTCGCTCAGCACCTCCCAATCGTCCTTGGCTTCCTCACCATCCTTGCCCTTGGCTTGCTCGGTTAACTTCAGTAACCGTGTGTCATCAACCAAGGCTTCCATGCCACTATCGAGCTTGCTAACGTCTTTGCCAGCCTTGAGCTTGGCGAGTCGCAGCTTCAAGGCAGCATCAGCGCGGTCGAGAAGCACCTTCATGACAGATGCGTGTTTGCAGGGATGCACCGAGGCCGTCTTGAGAGGGTTCTCGAAGAAAGGAAAGTCCTCGATTGTGACGGTCTTGTCCTTGTAGTCTCCGACAATATCCTCCATCATCTCTTGGGGTTTTAGTGGAACAGAGGTGGAGCCATAGCCCGAGAGATATAACCGCGGTGTCCGGTAGTGTGCTGAGTATGTGATGTAGAGCGTGTATGTGCGCAGAGGACTGTAGAGAGTGTCAGTGTGTCTCGATATCTTCAAGCGCAGGGCGTGTGGGCTTACGCTTGCGTGTTTGACTCGGCTTGTGGGTCCCTTATGATGGCCTCGTCGTCATCCTCAATGTCCTCCATGTCTGGGATCTCATCGTCGTCCTCTGCCGCGCCCAGGTTGCCGCTCTCGTCAACTGTCCGCACATCGCGGACCTTGGCCTCTTGGCTAGCTGCCATGCCGCCAGTGCGCAGCCAGCCGTCGTCATCGGTTGCGCCTTCTTCGGCTGTGAAGCCGTCCCTGACTATGGTTTCATCTTGGCCAGCTTCTCCAGCAAAGTTGTCGTCGAGACGGCGGTGGCAGGGTACGCCGCGCGTTACCAAGAACTGCTTGCCCTCAGGCAGGTATGAGACGCGTTTCGAAGGCGATGACGCATCCGCCCACTGCCACGAAGGGAACTTGAAGACGAGAAAGTCGCCAGCAAGCACAAACTCCTCGGGCGTGATCTGACCCGTCTCACGGAAAGTCGATGTGTGGCTGATGGCGGCGGTGCGCTCGCGGAAAGTGTCGATGTACGACCTGACAAAGTTGTAGGCCATGGCGATGTCGAGGCGAGGCGAGGCGGTGCGGGTGGTACAAAACTCTGGTGGTTGAGATGCAGTTGTCTGGCGCGGTGTGTGTATGTAGTACCTCCAGCGTGCCTTGGAGGGGTGGCGGGGTTAATGGCCGATGGTGCCTGTTGTGGGCCCTGACACCAGCCCGTCACCCCTCCCACTCACCTGCTTCCCTTCTTCCACCCCCACTCGTCACAAGACACGATCCAGCACCGTCACGTACCATGCCCTGTCACGCTTTTCTTTTGCATGATGGTGACGCAACTCTGCTTCGGCCCTGCCAAGCGTCCATGTCCGCTTCCTTATCTCGCTGCAAGCTTTCTCCACTGAACATTCCGTCCAGTTACACCTCCAGCAGCGCTCGCATAAGCAGGCACATGTACTCTGTTCGTGGCTGCAGACGTTCATGCAACCTCGCTTGAGTCGAAGTGGCATGCGTCGCACAGCGAGCCCTATCGTCGCACCCGGTTTGTGTGGTTGCACACTCTTACACTGTTTGGAAATAACCGCGTCCCTGTCAAAGTTGCGCCTAATCTGGACTTTGTGGCTGCTTTGTAGTCTTTCCTATCCTTCGGCTTCATTTTGAGAGCGTCAGTGTCACTGCATGTCTCGGTTTCAACAAGCTCCACGTTCAGCCCGTCTCGAATCTACCAAACAACGCTTTTATTTGGCTGTCCTGGAGCAGCTGACTTGGATAAACGTGTTGACTTTACAGAGTACATGTAAACTCTTTCCGTGATTTGGCCCTATTTGGAAAAAGATCGCCATTTGAAGATTCACAGAGCAAATACACCATTACCAGTAGGCTGCTCATCTTCTGCGCAGTCATTTCCTGTTCCGGTACTATTTGCATCTGTCGCACCGAGGATCCTCCCTAGTATCATTGGTGTTCAAGATATGCCAGAGGCGGCACAACTTCGCAACAGGTCTGACCGTCACCTGTTGCCGTCATTGACGCAGCTTTGAGCCAGGTTTGCAGTGCCATTTCAGGAAATGACAGATTTAGCCATGACATCGTTTCTCAACTAGGTGTATGCAGTGACCTGAGCACGAAGACAAGGTTGTAGAATGACAACATTCTGTACAGATATTGACAAAAAACAGCTTTAACGGCGTTATCTACCCAGAGATTATTGAACGGAAACTTACAGAAAATCGGTCGTGACACTAACGGCTCATCCAGGATCTCCTCTTCTAACAATGCTCCTCATCACCAGCAAAGTCACATGGCATATTTGAGGACCTATACGACCATGAACGTATGGAATACATGCAGACTGTCAACATCCCGAGTCCCAAAGATTTGTCTTTTCGGCGCATCATATCCACTTCGGGAAACCTCACAGTCTCTAACATCATGACGTGTATATTCTGCTGGCGTGTTCTGCGACTCAAGCCTGAGTTCAACTGCTGGGACATCTGAGAAAGGTATGGTACTAAGGCACAGACTGTCAACCATGCACCTCATCTCTTTTCCGGATATATCACCGGGTGAGATAGGGCTTATTCGCAGGTTTCGTCGAGATATTGAAAGGGATGCGGTATCGTTTACATGCGCCTATTCGGGAATGCACTCTCTGAAATGTTGACAAGTCCGAGCTACGTACAACCTAATACCTTCCTGCCGAATCACTGTGATGCTCGTACAGACGATGCCCCATGTGACCAACTTACCAATTTCCATTATACTCGGGGGGTTAAGGTACACAGCGTCATGTCAAAGACTTGACAGCAGTCACAGTCTCGCTAGCCCAGCACTTGTAACCAGAACAACCAATTTCGGACTAATACAACACGAATGCGAAGTCATGACAATCCACTGGCCTTGCATCATGCCAGGTTGACACCCCAACGCCAACTGTGTTTATAAAATTTTGTGCAGGATAGCTTCCGTGTACATGAAAACCTAGTAGGTCGAACATACCCAATCAACTGCACGACTATATACATACAGCCACTCTACAGAACTAACTCATCTTAACCGTTATCCTCTGCATACTTGCAAACTACTACTACGTATTTAGCTATCCACTACCCACTCCTCATGGCAGACGATCTAAACACGACAGCCAACGGGGCTCAACCACGATGTGGAGGATATACGGTGGTAAATGGGTAGGTGTAGGGTAGGGTAGGGTTGCCAAGGCCTGGGTAGGTGTCGGTGTAGGGTCTTATATAAGCAGCAACCCAACCCTACACCGACACCGACCCAAGGC